CATTTTGAATCGAATCGCTAAACCACTGCATGTGCATATGTCCCACATAAGGTACTAGGCACATGCAAAGAATGAACGGAATCGGTCCACAGGATTCTGAAATATGACGTTGGATAGACTGACACACGGACAGACCCAGGAACTCACGGACGGTCGGGGACATGTATCCTAACATGTATGATCTATGTACTAAATTTGAATGAAAACTGACAAAGCATGTCCAAAATACGACATTTTAAAAAAACAAGATGGCTGCCAGTCGGCCATCTTTGATCCAATTGTGAAATAAATCATCATGGACATGTATCCTAACATGTATAATCTATGTACCAAGTTTGAATGAAAACTGACAAAGCATGTCCAAAATACAACATTTTCAAAAAACAAGATGGCTGCCAGTCGGCCATTTTGAATCGAATCGCTAAACCACTACATGTGCATATGTCCCACATAAAGTACTAGGCACATGCAAAGAATGAACGGAATCGGTCCAAGGGATTCTGAGATATGACTCCGGACGGACGCACGGAGACCGAATTATAAGTCCCCGTTTTCGGACTTCGTCCGAACGGGGACTAACAAAAGAAAATCATGCTGCGTTTGCTGCGAAAGCTTGCGTTTAGTGATAGGTTTCTATTTTCATTGCACACTGATAGCGCTCCAACATGTGAAGTAAACAAAAAAAAAGTTTTCAAATGTGACGCAAACGTGACACACAATTTCCAAATAAGTAAGACATACACAACGGTTTCAAACACATCAGTTCAGTGTAAATTCTATTGTATTCAGTGCCAGATATTTACTAGTAATAATGTTTATTTTTTTCAGGCTAAGTGGAGATTAGGTCCAAAACAAAAAAAAGAAATATTCATGGTTCGGCACATTGGGAATTAATGCTTTTTTTTCTAACATTGTCACAATTTTCGAAACAACAAAAAGAATCAAAGAAAGCTTAGAAAGAACTCCCATGTGCTGAGAGTATTGGAGACACATTAAATATAATTCGAAATTACTTAGCTGAAAACTAATTATGCAAATCAGAAAATTAATATGACCAGATTTGAGTGTAAAACTAATGAGGTCTGCGCAATGTAACA